TTGATTGTTCCTGTAGCACTTTCCTGACTTCCTCCTTATTTTTCTCAACTGCATTGTATAGTGTTTTGATACCTTTTATAATCATTTTTAGGAATTCCTTCTCAGGCATTTCCAAAGCACTTCCAGTATGGAGTGTAGGTCTACTTCCAGCTCATTTGCTTCAGTCACTTTATCTCGTTTCTCGACAAGTGCAGATATGGTCATCTGCTTCTGTTTTTTGGGCATCTTCAGGGGTTTTCTGTGGACTTAATACTTAGATGGGTATGTATTTTGGTATTTTTTATGCTTTCTGAATGCCTCCAGGTAGATGTGATCAGGAAATGGGCTTCCCTTTTCACTCTTCTTCCTAAGAAGTTTCAGGATACCACTGTAGATAGTTTTAACGTAATTTAGGATTTAATTTTTGGCCTATTTCCTCTTGTCTGCTTGTCCCGCTACACAGTCCTCATTCAGGCCTTTTTTCTAGTTGGAAACAGTTCAGGGTCGGCTGTTGTCATTTGGTTTTAATTGGAAACTGTCTCTTTAAATTTCGAGGAGGTATGTGCACATGCATAGTAGAACTCTCTGAGGGTGGAGCTGGAGTTACGCAGACAGCAAGGGACCAATGAACAGATACCAAAAGAAAAGAATGTCCAAACCTTTATCTCAGCGGTTCTGCCAGGCGTCTGTGGCCGCTCCAATCCTTCCCCACGTGATCTCACCCAAGATGGCGGCTCCTGGAACAGTGGAGCGTCCCGGACTAGAAAGCAATAGATTTCTTGCTTCTGCCACAAATTCCCCCAGCTGTGAGCCTTCCAACCTTCTAAATATTCCATTATATGTGGTTCAGAGTTCTGGGATCAGCCCCTGAGCCTGCTTGGTCAGGTATTCTGTGTTGTTGTTGGCGGAGCTCCTTTACTGCACTTCCACCCGATCCGCCATCTTGTTTGTTCTCTTGAAATTTTCAATTCTTGGAGCCCTTTTTAGCTTCTCTAAAACGTTTCAGTATCTCTTCTGACATCCATTTTGGTCTTTTCTCTCTTTCTTGTCTATTAGTGACCTTTAGCTTTCTTCATGTATGGTGTTCTAGTATATACAAGAGGACTTCTGGTATATACATGTTCTAGCATATACAAGAGGACTTCAAAAAAAATTGTGAAAAAATTACATTAGCTTTTAATTTTTATATTTTTGTGAAGTTTCTTTTTAGCCTCCTTCTAATTTGCAGCACATACAGCTACATATGTAGAACTGTCCTCTGCTAAGTCTATGTACTCTGGTAGATGTACCTCCCTTATGGCACCCTGTGTTCCACCTATATATTCACTTGTCACTTATTGCTTATTATTGGTATAGCAGAATCATGGATGTAATACACGATTTACCCTGGTTACCCTTTACTCTCACATACTGCCTACCCAGTGTATTCCTTTGCCTTGGTCTTTTTATATGCTGACCTCCCCCTATTGCATATTGCGTTTCCTGTCATCCAAGATGATTTCTGTATCTACCTTTTAGTTAGCGGGTGTTCCCTGCCACAATTGCTACTGTAGTGATTGCCTAAAGAAGGAGATGTTCTGTTTTGGGGGTTGGGGTATTTTTTCGAGAGATGGTATTTTCAAAGGTTTCAGCTTTGAAAATAGCATTTCAGAGCTGTGTCTAATTCTGAATCAGAGGTAACTATGAAGTAGACTAACTCATGAGGTTTCATTTTAATATTGCCCATTTGCAAGAAATAGAAATCCTAAAGACATCGTCTAAGTTTTTAATTTAATTTTTATTTTTAGAGTTAACACATGAGTTTCTACAAATATTGGAGAAAACGCCTAGTAGGTTGAAGAAGATTCGAAACTGGAGGGTAAGAGAATTGGCAAGGTTTAGCAGAATATCAGTTTGTCACTATTCTAACAATTATATTCCTAATTTGAAAATTTATAGTTAAATATTTTCTTAGTGTTCTTTAATAATTAATTGGGACTTCAAAAATTTATGGAAAAATTCCATTATGTTTTCGTTCCATTTTTTCCATGAGCTTTTTGAAGCCTCATATAACACTCATAAGTTATATACACATAATTTATTCAACTTAATACATTAACTTTGTCATACTTTGCTAAGTATGTAATGTATTTTTAATTCTCACACAGTTATGATGGAATGGAGAAACTAAGGCATAGAAGTTAAACTACTTTTTCATATACTGAAGTAAGATTTAACCTGAATCGTATTCTAAAACTGGTGCTTTCAACTTGTTGTAACCTCCATTTATGTCCCTAGGGAGCTCAGTGGCTGCATATAATAAGCACTGGACTGCAAACCACAAGGTCCGTGGTTCGAGCCCACCACAGCCGCTCCACAGGGAAAAGATTAGGCTTTCTGCTTCCACAAAGATTAAAAACCTTGGAAACCCTATACAGGGTCACTATGAGTCAGAACTGACTCGATGACACTTAACAACAACTGTCTCTTTTATAAGATAATAATTAGTTACTGCAACATAAAACCTTGATCTCAAGGACTTTTTATTTCCACATATTTAATAGAGTGTTTTATAAGCAATGAAGTTTGTATTAAATTCCATTGCTCTGTCATTACTTCTTTTGTGTTTTATTTGAATAGGCTAATCAGGCCGCTACCGCTAAGAAGCCAAAAGTAGATGGGCAAGTATCAGAGACACCACTTATTGGCTCATCGTTGGTCCAGAATTCCATTTTAGTAGATAGTGTCACTGGTGTGCCTACAAACCCAAGCTTTCAGAAACCATCTACATCAGCATTCCCTGCACCAGTACCTATAAATTCAGGAAATATTTCTGTTCAAGACAGCCATACATCTGATAATTTGTCAATGCTAGCAACAGGAATGCCAAGTACCTCATACAATTTGTCGTCCCACCAAGGATGGCATCAAGATCAAGAGCCAGCAAGGACAGAGCAGATATATTCACAAAAACAGGAGACGTCTTTGTCTAGTAGCCAGTACAACATCAACTTCCAGCAGGGACCTTCTATATCACTGCATTCAGGATTACATCACAGACCCGAAAAAGTTTCTGATCATTCTTCTATTAAACAAGAATATGTTCATAAAGCAGGGAGCAGTAAACACCATGGGCCAATTTCTGCTACTCCTGGAATAATTCCTCAGAAAATGTCTTTAGATAAATATAGAGAAAAACGTAAGCTAGAAACTCTTGATCTGGATGTCAGGGATCATTATATAGCTGCCCAGGTAGAACAGCAACACAAACATATGCTGCCACAGACAGCAAGCAGCAGTTCTGTAACTTCTCCCATTAGAATGAAAATTCCCATCACAAACCCTGAGAAACACTTGACAGATAAAAAAGAAAAGAGTGGCTCACTGAAAGTACGGATCCCAATACCACCCACTGATAAAAGCACCAGTAAAGACGAACTTAAAATGAAGATAAAAGTTTCATCCTCAGAAAGACACAGCTCTTCTGATGAAGGCAGTGGGAAGAGTAAGCATTCAAGCCCTCATATTAGCAGAGACTATAAGGACAAGCACAAAGAACATCCGTCCAACCGCCACTACACCAGCAGTCATAAGCATTCCCACTCACATGGTGGCAGCAGCAGTGCTGGCAGTAAGCACAGTGCTGACGGAATACCACCCACTGTTCTAAGGAGTCCTGTTGGCCTGAGCAGTGATGGCATTTCCTCTAGTTCCAGTTCTTCGAGGAAGAAGCTGCATGTCAATGACGCATCTCACAACCACCACTCCAAAATGAGCAAAAGTTCCAAAAGTTCAGGTAGTTCATCTAGTTCTTCCTCCTCTGTTAAGCAGTATATATCCTCTCACAACTCTGTTTTTAACCATCCCTTACCCCCTCCTCCCCCTGTCACATACCAGGTGGGCTACGGACATCTCAGCACCCTCGTGAAACTGGACAAGAAGCCAGTGGAGACCAACGGTCCTGATGCTCAACACGAGTACAGTACAAACAGCCAGCATATGGACTACAAAGATACATTCGACATGCTGGACTCGCTGTTAAGTGCCCAAGGAATGAACATGTAAATTTGCTTAGGTCAATTTTTCCTTTACTTTTTTTAATTTAAAAATGGTTAGAATGGAAAACTTTCTCCTGATCTAGCAGTGGTAACAGCTGTGGTTGCTGCCACTGCTTCAATTATTTGTAAGTGCTGCTTTATTCTTCATTCAGAAAAGAAGAGATGATAGTAAACAAGTCTTTATCTCCACATATGATAGTGTTATAGATACTGTAAAAGCATGGAAGGCACAAAACTCAGTATTTCTACAATTGCAGCTAAGAACATTAGGATGAATGGCTGGCTGCTTCTAGGAATAGAAGATGCCTCAAGCATTTGTTATTATTTATAATTTGAATTCTGTAGCTATTTTTTGTTGTTGCTTGGCTTTTGAATGAGTGTAAATTGTTTCATTTTGTGTATTTATACTTGTATGTATGATTTGCATGATAAAGGGATAAAACAGTATACTGACAACTGTTTACAAGAAAGTGGAGAAAAATGTACATACATTTTTGTATGTTTAGATATTACCATAAATACTCAGGATTGGAGCTGCTTGTAAGTATAACAATATACAGAATAACTTTATTTTGTCTTGTGTCGGAGTCCATCACTAATCTAATAAGAGGTGGCACTTTTTTCATGTTAACCTTAAACTCTAGGCCTTACTGGAAACCACTGAAAGGGGACTTCTTCATTAAAGAATGGGTTTGCAGCATCATGGATGGTCATTTACACTGTGAGGCACTGAACTTTTGCCTTCAGAGATTCTGACCAAATTGGCTGCTCAAATAGCCCCTAGTTTTCTGAAGGCTTGAAGAGGAGAAAATAACGTTTACATACTCTTGATGTGAAGTGCATTTAAATGTTTGTTGGCTTGTTGCAGCGCTATAAACAAAGCTGTTAATAATGGTTCTGTAGACTATTGTGATTTGGAAACTAAATTCATGAAAACTTACACAGTGAAGAATTAGTAAGTTTTTTTTCTTAAACAAAGAACTGTAATAACACTACGTGTTTTAACAGGGATTGCTTTTCCTTTAGCATTCTTCAGAAAGACACCGTGCTCTTCGACATACTCCTTCCCTGAAGTGTGTTTGTGTGTGATGCCATATTTCTTTTTTTAGGTGAATGCAGTCTTCCTTATAACAGTGGAATTGAACCTATTGCTCTTACTATTCCTTTATAATCTGACAATAAATGCAAAGATCACTGACTGGGCTTTGTCCCTATAGTTATAATTTAGGATTGTTGTCAGGAAGCTCTCAGCCTCCAAGTTAACCACTAATGCTTCTACATCTCAATATATTCCTCTTGAAGGAGATCAAATTTGCACAGTTATCTGACTTTTTGAACAAATAATAGACTTTAACTTGTCTAAGGTTTCTGTTAAATACCAGTACTGCAGCTCGGGTTTACAGCTAATCTTAAATTTACTCTATGGTAGATCTTTGAGCTGTTTAGTGTCTTTGAGCTGGGTTGAATTCAAATTCTGTTGAACTGAAAATTGTCTTAATTTTTTCTCTATGTATATGAATTTTGTTACAAAGCCACTGATGTGCACAATTGTAATTTTACTCAACTGTGTTGCAGTTGTAAATATTAGAGTTTAACCCTATGTTTTACTTTTATTTAGCAGTTATAATTTACCAGTAGTTATGTAACTTTTAAAGAGATATTTGTTAATACTTTCATCAATGTTATTTCAATTTCGGAGCATAGGAGCCTATTTCTAGGGACTTTGCCTAGCTAGGATGTCCTCACATTTGTTCTTGTCTTGCCTAACTGTAGTAATCTGTCATTACATGGAACTTTGTTGCTTTGTATGGCATAATATTGTATCCATAAACCTGGTAATTTTGATACAGTTATACTTTTACAATGGTACCTAATCCAAGGACTAGTGTAGAATTAAGCTGAGTTCAGGATGAGGGAGGGAAGGGTTTTGTTCTTGGTAATTTAGATGTGTGAAACTTCTAAGGAGCTATCATGTGAAATGACATAGGGTGGTTGTTCTACTGTACAATTGGGGGTAATAATACCAGAATTTTAATAAGATTTTGTAAAGCTATCCAGAAAAGTAGTAAACTTATTTTCAGAATGACATAGAAAAACAATGTGAATATTTAAGGTCTGTGACTATACTTAAACTTCACAAATAATTTGCAGAATTGTTTTGAGATGTGGGAATAAAGGTAATTTCGTTCAATCTTTATTGGTGCTAATGATGGACAGTTTAAAAAGGTAGCTAGTGTATATTGTTATGGGTCAGTACTTACTACTAGTACTTCCAAAACTTAATCTGAAATGCTATGTATTCACTTTTCACTCTGTATATGTAATTCTTAACAATGACTTTATTTATTAAAGGGCAGCCAGTGGTAATTTTTACAGGATTGTGTGAGCTATTTAAACTCATTAACCTCTAAACAGGGTATGAAGCTTTCAAAACTACAAAGGCGATAAATATGGAAATTCTTTTAAGGTTCATTTCCATTACATGAAAACTCTTTAAAATTCATATTGCCATGAATTTGCTTTTTGACAGTCTCATTTGCATAAAATAGTTCCTCCGCCTGGTCCCAATAGGCTCAACCAAAGAAAAGACTTCAGTGAGTGGACATTATTACTGAGTCTTCTTGTAAGTAGCCATAAATAAACCAAAATAGTGTCATCAAATTTAGGTGTGAAATTCCACATGTGCAAAGTACTGTTAAGGTGATACACTTTGGTGAGATTTTCAAAAATATTTGAAATATTAAAAAGCATTATCTTCAAACATCCTATAAGAGAGTGATTCATTATTAAGTTGCGTTTTCACTAGATCATGGATTTGTTACCTTGATGCAGAAGCACATTGCAGAGAAAGGCTTGCAGTCTACCTCACTATTCTCCAGTTCTGACATGTACCGCCATGTAGATGCCTTTGCACCTTTTATATAGGAAGTTTTCTAGAACCAGATGAAAAATGGTGTATGTTCTCTGAAACATTCCCAGAGGCCTGACTTTATAAAACCTTGTGGTATCCATCACGGTCAGACCTTGCAAACATTTCTAGTTTCTTTTTCTGGTTTAGCTTGAGAGCTATTTCTTACTGCAAGTGTTTAAATATTGAAAAGTCATGATTATCCTTAGGTTTAGCTTTGAAAGCAGTTGACATGTTCATCTTGATCTTTGTCTGTATATACACCTTCATTCTTGTTAAATGTCTTATATTCAGAGTTATTTTTTTAAAAATTCCTACCATAGTGTCTGGTTTCATTTGGAATGTCATAAAGGACTCTCCACATTACTTTCTCCCAACAGGTTATCTTCTTGTAGGGTACCTGTAAATTTTGGTTTTGGTTTTGTTTTCCACTTTTCTATCCTCTTTGAAGGAGTCCTGGTGTGGCACTGTAGGATAAGCACTGAACTGTGAGGTGTATTTTTAATTGCAAGGTCAGCAGTTCAAATTCACCATCCTCTCCACAGAAAACCATATGAGTAGGAACCAACTTGAAGGCACTTAACAACAACATCCTCTTTGAATTAAAGATAGAACTAGTGAAGGTCTGCTTCAGAAATTCTTATTAAAAAAAATTTTTTTTAATTCATCAAAATGCCTTTAAAAGCATTTTAAGCAGATTTTTGTTTGTATTTGAGAATTTAAATTGCTGATTTAAATTTCTTAACCATCCTTTGAAATAAACCACTGTAGGACAAGAGCAGGACTGAAAGGTCCGTTTGAACCAGAAGGTTGCTGCTTCAAACTTATCAGCCACTCCTCTGAAGCTGTGTACAGGGTGGCTGAGTTAGAACAGATTCAACCAGCACTTAACATAATGTGCTTTGATACTATGTACTCTACAAGTACCCTTGGTTGATTAGGTATTTCAGGGTTTTATATTTTAAAAAGTATTTTACCTCACAGGTTTTATCTAACTTAAAAGCACTGTCTCTTGCCTTTTACTGTGCTTAAATTGCTGGTGGTGTTGGAGAACATTTGGGAAGCGCTTGATTTGGTACTTCTAGATCAGGAAAACTGGGGGCCTCTCCCCTCATAGTTGCAGGGGGGGCAGTATTTTTTTTTCTTACAGCATTTACCCAGCTGAAAGATCAACAAATCCCACTCTCAAGAGAACCTTGCATTAACTGAGCTCTCAAAACAAAATATCTAGTCTCATGTGCCCACTTATTTATAATAGGCTAATTTAAACAGGAATTTTTGCATTAGAACAGCAGTACATTGTGTTGTTAGTACCATGGAGCCCTTTACAACTTGCCAATTCTGTACAGAGTTTCCAAGGCTTTTAAATCTTGGCGGGAGCAAAGAGCCTCATATTTTCTCCTGTGAAGCGTCTAGTGGGCTCAAACCGTGGACCTTGTGGTTTGCAGTCCAATGCTTATTATTGTTGCTAAGTGCCATGAAGTTGGTTCTGACTCAGAGTGACCCTTTATAGGGTTTGTGAGGAATGGCTGGTGAGTTTGGAGCTCCGACCTTGCCGTTGAATGCTTTTCCTACAGTGCCACATCAGGACTCTGTTTATCATGTTGTGCCATTGAGTCGGTTCCGACCCATAGCGACCCTGAACAGGGTTTCCGAGGCTGTAAATCTTTACGGGAGCAGAAAGCTTTATCTTTCTCCCATGGAGCAGCTGGTAGTTTCGAACTGCTGATCTTGCAGTTCACAGCCCGATTCGTAACCACTACGCTACCAGAGGACCTCACTAATAATGAGGGTTTGCTCGTATAGCCGTGGAATTCTAGACAAGTGGCTTATTTAAAACTGAATGTGCTTGGTGTGTGACCATAATTGGTTTTCCTTTGTCTGTGGAGCCATAGTCCATAAGAACAACTGCTCTAATGTATTCCGCCATGGTTTTTCACCAGTTTTAGTGGTTACCACAGTAGAACAAAGTACTACAGCTTGCCCCAGGACTATTTGCTATTTCCACTTTACAATGGCAAACAATGCTCCTCTTTGTTAACTAATTGCTGCCTTCAGCATTGCTGAACAATTGGCAGAATCACCTGGAAAAGGAGCCCGGGTGGTGCAGTGGTTAAGACGCAGCTCTGTTCACCGCCTTGAGACACTTACACTCTCCTGTACGACTGCTATGTATCAGCTCTGTGTTTGTGTTCAAATGAATACTTGATGCAGCGCAGCCAGTTTGAGGAAGAAACTGGGCAATGCTGAAGTTTCTTCTTGCTCATGAGCAGATTAAGTGGGTCTAGGCCTTGGTACTCCATCCAGTAGACCCAGAACTTCTGTAGTATAATGCAGAATGGAGTGGTTGAAGTAGACATGGACTCTCCCTAAACATACTCAGGAAGTTAAGGTTAGGGAGATACTACTCACTGTAGAGTTGACTACATTTAGAACTTGAGTGGGGAGTCAAAATTCCTTTGAGCCTGTGCCCAAAGCACACAGGAAGACTACATAAGGAAACATTTCAATGTGATTTGAAAATTCAGCAGTGTTGCACTTCATGAAAAGAGTACTCATGGAGAAGAAGGTGGTACTGCTGGGAAAAGAAATTGAGAAGGCTTTCACACCATTAAACACACTAGACCAGTGAATATGTTGATCAGCATCTCAGTGGGATTTTGTTTAAAGTGAAACTTCAGGATGTGTCTGGTAAACAGATTGGGTTTGGTAGGAGGCAGCAGGGAAAGTCAGGCAGACCTTGGTGCAGTTCCAATTCCTGCCTACCAGAAAGTTGCTTAGTTGGGAGCCCTGGTCTTCATTGATAAAAATGATACCCAAACTTACAGTAGAAAAGTTACCCAAATTTATAGCATTGTTTTCTAATGAGGGCCTCAGGCCCTCTTTCTCCTCTAGGAAAAGGAAACTACAGTGAGAATAAGGAGCATACGTCAAACCATCAAGGGTAGCAAAATCAACAGGAAGCCCTGAAGGTCAAGGCTTGCCTATTCAAAACTTACAGTTTTGAAGGTTCTGTTTAATAATTCAAACTTCAAAATTCACCATTTTTCTCTATCAATAGATGCTTCGATTTGTTAACACCACTGCTTATGCCCATTACTGCAAACTCTAGCATAATCATGCCCTGCAGCCTTTTCTTTAAGCTTTAATAGCTTCAAAATCAGGTATTATGATTCTGAGTTTTAAGAATGCCAATCTATCTAAATGAACATAACCACCTGAGGAACTGGGCTGCGTTTCATTTTTTTTTTTTTTTTTTTCAAAAATTTCAACAATGGATAAATTGTGCTTGTAGCTTAAAACATTGGCTAACAAAGACATTTGGTAAAACCAGTGGGATTTTTAAAACTTACACTAATTTAAAATTGTTTATGATTGTCCAAGTGAAAAGCAACTTAAGCATAGATGTCTTTGGGTAAAGTGAGCAAAGTTCTCATTAGACTGGTTTTGTCTGACCAGCTGGCTTTTTTGTGGTGGTTAAATGCAGTTGAGTTGCTCTAAGGAGCAACTGGTGAGCTTGAATGGCCATTGTGGTTCAAATGACCTTGCAGTACAGCGCATTAACCCACAGTGCCATGCCATAGCTACTGACTATTCAGTCCCAACTCATGAGCACCCCCTCCCTGTACAACTGCAGGATAAGCCTGCCCTTAGCTTGCTTGCTGTGTACTCTGTGCCTGTTGGGGATGGTCAATTCGAATCAAGGCTTTGATTCTGCTAGAAAAGTGATGGAGTTGGTAGAAAGATATGTCTAGAGCAGGATCTTTGATGTGAAAAATGTGAACCTTTCTACTATAAATTAGTAAGCCCAAGTTAGCTCTGCTTACCTTGCTTGTTGGGATATCCAAGATAGCTCACAGAACAAAATAATGCCTGATCTTGAGCAACTCCCCTGAGTCAAACCCTGGTCTCCCAAATGGAAGGCTTGTTAAAGTGCCATCCAGTTGGTTGCAACCCTGTATAGGGTTTCCATGGAGCAGCTGGTGAACTTGAAAAGGCTTTTCAGTGTGGCTCATTAACCTACTTTATCTAATTCTGGATGAGAGTCCTGGTATGGCTCTGTAGGATAAGCACTGGACTCTTTAATTGTAAAGTCCACTGCTCAAATCCATCAGCCCCTCCTTGGGAACCCTATACAGGGTGGTTATGAGTCAGGACCTATTGAACACTTATTCTGGATGTGGTGATACTTAATTCACTCTGAAAGTATGTGAAAGCCTTAAACCACAGCAATTAAATGTCGGGTTTATGGAGGCTCTGGAGTAGCCCAACTTGTAAGTGGAGACATTTCCAGCATTCAGGAATTCTCTGATAATGAAGAGAGTCCCAGAATCTGCAGTTAGCTTTGCTGCCAAAGTGAAACAGCCTATTTGCTTACCCCTTTTAACATAGTAACTTTCTCTAATCTTAGCAAAAATTAATCTTAAGAAGGAAGAAAATACAAGGTTTTTTTACATTTTATTTTAAACTCATGACATTAAAATTGACAACTAAAAAATGAAAAAAATATACGGCAATAGATACTGTATTTTCTGTACAGTAAAAATTATAAACACTGGAACAGGGTTTTTGTTAAGTTCTCTTCTCATGTACTTAGGCAATCTTGCTTGAAGTTTGTGGAAACTAATCCATTAGTGACAGGATCTGGCTTAATAGGGCTAGATTGAATTTCCAGAAGGAAAACAAGAGCCCTTTAACCCATCATTCCCCACAATAATGGAGTATCTATAGTATAATGGAGAAAAAAGTCTGGATGTATGTTAGTGACTTCTCTTCAAGAAGGAGTGCTTGAGGAGCTGGAGAGCAGAAGGCCGCTGGTACTGGTCCCTGAGAAGGAAAAACATGTCAGAAGAGTGCCCACCTCAGATCTGCTGGACTCCAGTGCAGATTTCAAAGATGGAAGTACAGCCGACAGTCCAACGGACTTGGGTTTGAGTCTATACTCAATTTTCAGCTGTGTGATCTTGGGTAGGAAATTGAGATTTTGTCCTCATCAATAAATGGGAATAACTAACTCGAAAGAAATAATGTGTAGTACATAGTATTTAAAATGTGTTCTAATATTGGGAGTTGTTATAGTGAAAAAGTGGAGTCCTGGAGTGGCGCTGTAGGATAAGCACTGGACTGTTAACCACAAGTCAGCAGTTCAAAAAGCTGCTCCTCAGAAACCATAGTCCTGGTGTGGCACTATGGGTTAATGTGCTGGACCTAAAGGTTGGAGTGAACCGCAAGGTCGCTTATGAATTGGAACCAACCCATGGCACTTAACAACAAAAGACAAATATGCTTCGGTGATTCATTGAAAAATAATCCCATTTTGGGCACTCTTAGCAGAAAATAGAGAGTTACTTAGGTTTCTTGTGACCTACTTTACTTTCTGCAAGAAATAAGCTTTTGGAAATGTGTCAATCACTCTATGAATTAATGAATCAGTAAATTGCTACAATGACCTATTACAGCAGCATTCTTTTGATTAAATTTGTGTCCTTTGATGATTTTAAAATGCGAAATGATACCCCTGGATGGTCAGATTGAAACTGAAAATAAAGTACTTTTTAAAGAAAGACATCTTAAAATTTAAGCCTCTCACTTTTTGGAATCTGTTTCTCCCATCTTCAAAATATACTAAAGTTAATTTTATTGTGGCTAATCCTGTTTCTGTTCTTGCCAAATTTCTCAAAAATGGCCAAGCCCAGTGGCTTCTCAAGTACTCATTATCATCTGAAACCCCAACCATTTAGTTCCTTCCTCTAGGATCATTGCCCTGTTGTAATTAACTATGACTGCATTACCAAATTAAATGGGCTCATTCTTAAGTCCTTAGCATTTGAAAATGTCACTACCCACCTTCCTAGAACAACTCTTAACTTAATTTATGGGAAACTATTCCCTAGGTTCTCTCATCTTGGAGCAACTGCCTTTCTGCCCTCCCTCCCATGGGATGTGCTAGGCCCAATGCTATGCATAGCCTGTTATTTTCTCATTAATATTTTCAATGATTTTCAAATAAGTACCTTCAGCTTTAATCATTTCCTTAGCTCCAACCCCATATTTTAAAATACTTTAGATAGCTAAGGACCCTCTTCAGCTTCCCTTTTCCGTCTTATAACTTCCAGGTTGGTGATTGTTTGCCACCTCTTTGGTTCCATTTCATAGAGACCATGTATAGCGTTCCCAGGGCTGTAAATCTTTATGGGAACAGAAAGCCTCTTTGTCCTGCAGCACTAATGATAAATTCAAACTACTGACATTCCAGTTAGCAGCCCAGCTCAGAATCTACTACGCTAGTGCAGCACCATTGTTAAGTTCTTGAGTCACTTCCGTCCCATAGCGACCCCGAACATGGTTTCTGAGGAGTGACTGGTGAGTGTGAACCGCTGACCTGTGGTTCAAACCAACGTTGTAGTCTAGCACATTAACCCATAGCACCACATCAGGATCCCATTATCTACAATCAAAAGTATAAATTTCTATCAGTTCTCTGTTGGCCTTTTTATCTAATCAGTCATCCTCTGAAGTGTTATGGAATATTTACCTTTTACAAACATGCTGCCACCACCACTGAAGTCTAAACTCTGGATTCCTGCATGACTTCCTAATCTCAAACAGCCTCCATTCCATTCCAGCAGGCCCTTCAGGACTCAACCTTCGCAAAGACATTGAATTCCCAATGTTTTCTCACTTTTCACAGTTCCAGCTCTCTCACTGCCTTGTGCAACACAACTAGGCCGACTTCCCAGAATTTTCAGCCTGCTCGTAACTCTACCGTCACCCTTTCTCACTGCTCCCAGAATTCGTTTCTGTTTTCTTCATGCCTTAGTCCTACTCTATACTTGATTACCTCTACTTCAGAATCTTTTATCCACACCTGCCTCCAAGGAGTGTTGTCAACATTAGGTAAGAGCCTAGAGTCCTTAGGGTCTTTGCCATAGAATTTTGGAAGATAATTATATGCTGCCTTCTATATGACGCTAATTGAGTAAGGTGTATTAGAATTCTCCCTAATGGTTATTAACTATGGAAACCTAATTATGTGTCCCATACTCTTAAGCAATTTATATACACCATTTCACTTAACCTTCACAACAAACCTATTAATTTACTATGAAGGTTATGAATTGTGGGATTACGAAAATAGGGTTCCAAAATACAAAGCCATATAGTTTCCAAATGAAAAAGGCTTAAACTTTCAGAGTTCAGCACCTCTGAAAAGTTGCATGACTAATAGTTTTTAGTCTCTGTCACTGTATTATGGGTTTTGACAGGGTGACTACTACTACCCAGTCACTTGAAGCTTGTTCTTTTAGGATAGTTAAGCTTTATTTAAAATTTTTATTCTAAATTTAATAATTCATTCCACTTCATAACTCTCTTCTATTTTAGACCATTGGTTTTGTTCATTAATTTATTCAGTAAATATTTGCGTGTCTAGAGACTGCTTTTCTAGGTACTGGTGGTTCAACTGTGAACAAAACACACTAAGTGCCTGCTTCCACAGAGCTTACATTCTGGTGGAAAGAGGCAACAAAGATCTTACAGGTCAGATGGTGATTAAGTGCAATGAAAGTGGAGGAGTGTAAGGGAGCAAGAGTGATGCGGGATGCAATATTAGTCAAGAAGGTCATCTGAGAAGATGTTTGAGCAGAGTCCAGACAGAAGGGAGCCAGCTATGTGAGGGATCTGAGAGGAGACAGTTCTAAGTGTTGAGGACAACCCCTGAGGCAAGAGTAGGGTTGGCCAAGGGAGGAGACAAACCGAAAAAAGAGCCAGGAAGAGTAGTAGAAACAAATCTGGAGAGAGAACTACAGAACTGGCATGGACTTTGGATTTTATTCCGAGTGAGATATAATTGTTTTATACATGTTTAAAGGATCTCATTTGTATTCAGTAAGATCGCCCTATAATTTTCCCCAAAGGAACTGAGCTCAAACAAGAGCCAAGGAATACAACATGCTCATGAAGTCAGATCTTCAGGTGAAAATCATTAAAGGTGTCATGATAAGGAGCATGCTCCTTTGAAGACAAGTTGGAAGTGTTAGGTAGAAACTTCTCTGACTTCTATAAAATAGAAGTTATTTAAAGTTATTTTTTTTTGTAATCACAAGAGAAAATTAGAGAATAGCACTTAGGTTTTAGCAAAGAGTCAATAATAGATCATTATTAAATTCAGAACAAAGCAACTACTTATTTTAATTTTCTAAACTAGCGGTGTTTCTCTGTAGAGGTGGAGGGGCAGTGGTACTGCATTTGTGGCTTTACTCCACCAAATCCACTAGTGGACACAAGGTGCCTCTGCAACTCAGATACCCAGAACAACACCTCTGGAGTATATGTTCTTGCCTGCTCAGTGATTTCCCTAAAATGATTCAGGACAGGTTAATATACATGGGTGCTGGGGAAAGGAGACAGACTGAAAGAGAGGTATTGTCTGTAGACGCCAGAGACCAATGGTCTCTGAACGTCATTTAAAAAGGTAAATGAAGCCCTGGGCTTTTGGAGCTGCCACATGTACTTGCTGAAAGCTGTGGCCCTAGGATTTTCCATCTAGGAATAAGAAAGCAAAGGAGAGTGAGGGAATACACATATCCCTAGAAGACAGGAAATTGTCTGAGTCTCACTAGGCTTGGTAGGTTATAGGCTGCTCGGTCCAGATGGGTGGGCTCTGGCACCGCACCACAAACACATTTTAACCAGAGCTATCTCCACGTTGGTGTTTTACTCCTGGGATTAAGATTCCATATGAGCAAAGCATCCTTGTCTATGAAAAGTTTGAAAACTACAGCAGTAGATAATCCCTAAATCTCTTACATAACATGCTATTTAGAATTTCATTCTGTAGCTAGGAAAAGGGATCAGAACAGGGGCAGGGGAAAATAGGCCGCTTTCTAAGGCTTTTCTGTTTCCCAGAATATTGGTGCTATTAGGTGCTGTAGAGTCAGTAACCCTATATAGGGTTACTGAGAAGCAGCTGGTGTATATGAACTGACGACCTTGTGGTTCTGAACCTCAGTGCCACCCTAGGAGTACAGCTGAAGAGTGGTGGTGTTTAGTGCTGTCAAGTCTGTTCCAACTCATAGGGACCCTATATAGGGTTTCCAAGGAGCAGTTGGTGGGTTTGAAAAGCAAACCTTGTTGTTAACAGTTGAGTGTTATCCTACAGCCCACAGAGAAATCCCAAAATACTCTACTTAGTTCTTGAAATGCTCCAATTGAAGATTTGTTCTTTGGGCTCAAAATGATCCTCCCCATTTAAAATGCACATATTTCTGGGAAAACCAATATGTTAAACTTGGTCTGCCATCAGCCCCCTAATATGAATGCGTGTCTCACATACTTTCCCTAGAGCTGGTTTTGGGAGTTCAGTCATTAAAGCAGAAGCAGCTGAGGACAGAGTGATGCCATTTCACCCTGGCCAGTGTCTAGGAAGATGTCATGTTGAATAAGTAGTCAGCAATCTTTGAAACCCCTCACCCCAAAATTGGCTTGGGAAATTATTTTCAGGACCTGATAAAACATTTAATTGAACTACTTTCTATTTGTGGTATTCATTGTCTCATATACAGCAATGAAAACACAATCACACAATACAGCTAATCATAAGTTCTAGACAAACTCACTCCCTACTCAACTTCATAAGCGAAGCAAAGCTTTTGATGGGTCCCAAGTTGCATGGGAACTCACAGCTGCCTGGAATCTGGGGGCTCCTCTTCCTCCTCCTGCTTTCAGTTTCTTACCTGGTTAGGCACACACGCACAAAGTCCACTGCATGCTCTGAGAAGCGGTCCGGCAAAGACGGCATCAGTCCTCGGTGCGCTCCTATGTAAAACATGGCAGCCATCCTGTCCATGGAGGCCAGCGGAGGCTTGCCCGTGGCCATCTCAAACACAGTGCAGCCAATGCTCCAGATGTCCGACTTCCTTCCATAGCCAGACTCATTGATAACTTCCGGGGCCATCCAATATGGAGTCCCATGCATGGACTTAAGCATGTCACTGTGAGTGCCATTTAAACCTGCCCAGGCCAAACGCTTGGCACAGCCAAAGTCGATCAGCTTTATTATTCCGGTTGGCATGAGCATGACATTATTTCCTTTGATATCTCGATGCACCACACAGTTGTCATGGAGATAAGCAACACCCTGTAGAATTTGTTTTGTATATTTACAGAACACCATCTCAGGCAATGGACCAAAACGATTTATAATACTAGAGATTGAACCACCGGGAACAAACTCCATGAAAATGCTCACAATGTTCTCCTCCAAGCATGTCCCCAAATAGGCCACGATGTTGACATGTTTCAGTACTTTGAGCAAATCTACTTCTTCTTGCAATTTTCTGTATTCTTTTTCAGTCCCTAATTTATCAGAGGTATCCAAGGCCACCTGTTTTACAGCTATTAGCTGTCCCTGACTAGTAAGACCACAGTATACCTAGAAACAAACCAATACCTTAATAAATACAATTGACATAAATAACTTGTTCACAAAATGCCTCATGTGACGCTTGTCTTTACCTTCATCCCCCAAGCCCTTGTCCTTCCTCTAAGTGAACGCATCCCTACCTAAATGCAATATATTTTAAAAGAGCAGATTCAGTGTTTCTGTGAAGGCAACACAGGCATGAGCAACATGTGAATGGAACTCATCATATTGGCTTGGAGTCAAGTGGCCTGGATTGGTTAGAAGCCTAGCTTCGCCAATTGTTAGCTGTGCAACTTTAAGAAAGTGCGTTACGTTTGACCTTCAGTTCTTCTCATTTGTAAAACTGAAGTAACATTATTTGCTTCACAGATTTCTAGGATGACTACATGAGACAGTGGTTTGGGAAAGCTCTTCACTCAGTAAATGTTCATTTAAAAAGCTATTTTTTTTTTCCTGGTATTTAGGTGGAGCCCAGAGTGGATCCCATGTATCTAGCTTCCAAGTTTAAGACTTGGAGAAACAAAACGCCTCCTTAAGTTTCAAGGATGCTATTGGAGAAATCTCCCATGTAAAATACATTTTCAAAGAGCAGACAAGCACCAAAACTTTCCCAGTTATGCAGACTGTGGGTTTGGTTTTAATCTCTGGCGTCTCCAAGCCCTGTCAAGTAATGGTGTGACCCAGGGTAGTCCCCACATGAGAACAGCTGTAGGAAATTATAAAACTCTGTGATTTCAGAGGCTTCGTGTCTTCCTACTTTCTCACTGACTCCAGAAATGCCCCTAACTAGAGCTGAAACAGGTTCTACCAGGGGTCCAGTCTTTTCTTTACTCATCTATATAAATACTATCTACAGTGCTAGGACTATAGATGGACTTTTATGCAATTCACAAAATGTAGGCTGGAGCATCGTCTGCTTTTGCCTCCCTGCAAAGATTCTCCCGACTTCTGGTAACATCCTAAGCTACTACGGGGGACTAGAACTTGGAAGAGTGAGAGCCTGAAGATGTTATGACAATTGCACCACCAGAAGGAGCTTGTGGTGAGAGTCTAACACAGAGATACAGAGAGCAGATCCTGATGACATTGTAGGATCCCTGAAACCTGGATTGTCTGAAGCCAAACTTGCTCCAAGTGTTTCAGTTATAAGCAACAAACATCATTTTCCTCAGCCACTTTGGGTTAGGTTTTCTGTTACTACCAACTGAAAGACTTCTAAGTAAAAGAATGTGTATTTATGCTAGAGAAGAGGGATGGGTCAATGAGGGATGGGGTTTTTAGTTGTTTATTATGTTTCCAGTTTGACTTACTGTGCCGTAGGCTCCCTTCCCAAGGATCTCACCCTTGGTCCATAGGACAGGCTCTCCACACTTTAAACTATTTTCAGAAAATGTCTTCTTTTCATTTGTGTTGAGAAATTTCTCTTCCCTGTCATAAATTCTGAACCCATTACTGTACCTCTGGAACAATGAAGCAAACAGAAAGGTCACCATTAAATTCTGAGGCATGGAGTTGGGGGGAAGGGGTAGAGGTGTAATGGACCCTTCCTTTCAAATACACCTGTATAGGTCCACTCTTGAAGTCCTGGTGTGGCACTGTATGATAAGCACTGGACTGCTAACCTCAAGATCGATGGTTCAAGTCTACCAACTGCTCTTCAAAAACCCTATATAGGGTCTCTGAGTCAGAACAGACTTGACAACACTTAACAACAAGGGCCATTCTTACTGTTCACGGTAACTTCTTAATGCATAAATCTTCCCCAAACAATTACCAACCAGGATAGCTTCACTGCTACCTCAGCTTTGTTCAACATTTCAAAGTCACATTTTGTCTGTATGTTTTCTAGGGGGAGGTCTTGGGCCTGCTGGTTTCTGCATCCGCAGGCTATTAACCACTATCTTTTGAGAATGACCTCTCTCTAGGTTCCATAATCAGAATGGACATACATATGTTACTGTATGCTATCATATAAGCTCCTCAGAAACCCATTCCCTCAGTTCTTTCTTCAGAATTCCTATTCTGGTCAATTTACCCCTAAGCACACATAGACATAGTCACACTCACACATATTCACATGTTCATTCCCATGCATGTGCATTTCCATGCATTTGCATATGTTGTTGTGTGTGTTCCCATCAGTTCCTACTTTATATGGTTTCCAAGAAGTGGCTGGTGGTTTAGAACTGCTTTGTGATTAGCACTCCAATGCTTAACCTACAGTGCCACACCAGGACTCCAGTGTGCATGTTCTCAAATACAAATTACATCCAATTTATAAATACATATTCAAAAATATACATCACTATATAATATATATATGTATGTACATGTGCTAACACATAATGAATATATATACTCATATACATACACATGGGAACACATGTACACATTTACATACAAACACACATCCAGATGCATACATACATGCACACAAAGTCATAAAAAGCAATTTTCATGGTCAAGATCAGTATCAATAGACTGAAGACTGATGGTCCCCTAAACCTTGGCTACTCAAAGGAAAATCTGCAGACCAGCTGCATCAGCATCACCTGGGAGCTTGTTAGACATGCAGAATATCAGGCGCTGGACTGACTCAACATCTGCATTTTAATACGGTCCCCAAGAGATTCTCAGTCACAGTAAGCTTCGAGAAGCACTGGCCTGGAAGTCAGGAAACAAACACTTCTTGGTAGAACTTAGGCCAGGTTTTCCAATGGGTTGGTTCATTTTTACTTCTTATCCTAGTCATCTTAAACAGTAAATAAGAGAAGTGATGCAGCAGAGCTATGGAGATGGTGGCACTTTGAAGGTCCCCAGCAGATCCCACTGTGATTGCCTTCCTCTTGAATATCAACGTGCCTCTCAGGCTCATTTGGGTGCCTCCTCCCCCATTTACTCACATTTCTACCCAAACTGAAATTTAAGAACTACTTGGAACTGTAAGATTATAAAAGGTCTGCTTTTTGCTCTATGAATGAAGGGTGGAATTACAGACTGCTTATAGTTAGGGCATAACTCTTTTTCAATCTGAAGTTGCAGAGTTGTAGGCCCTTCTCATAAACATTCAGGCATCTCCCACCCAGCCTACTGCCCATCTCACAGCAGAAAACAAACTCCCATGAGAGCAGAGTTGGCCTTTTCAGACAGGAGCATTCTCACTATTGAGTGATTAAACATTTTTACTGCCTAGTGAAGTTGGAATCAGAATGCCTGACCCTCCCACTCAATAGCCCTGTGATTCCAAAGCCTCAATTTGCTCATCTGAAAAATGGGAACATGTTAGAACCTATAGTACCTATCTCATAATGCTATTATGAAACATAAATGTGACAATGAATATGATGCACCTCATTCACTGGTGGAAAATTCTCAATACTCCTTTGCCTTCAAGTCAATTCCAACTCACTGAGACCCTATAGAACAGAGTAGAACTGTCCCATAAGATTTCCACTGTAATCCTAGTACGGCACTGTAGGATCAGCATTGGACAGCAAACCACAAGGGCAGCAGTCCAAACCACCAGCTGCTCCTCAGAAACCCTATACAGGGTCACTAAGAGTCAGAATAGACTCTATGGACACTAAACTACAACAATCTTGAAGAGCAGCTGGTGGGTTTGAACCGTTGACCTTGAGGTTAGATTGACACATCTTTCTCTCATGAAGTAGCTGGTGGGTTTGAACCTCTGCTCTTTTGAGTAGCAGCCAAGTGCTTAACCATTATGCTACCAGGGTTCCTTAAATTCTCAATAAACCAAGTCACACACACACATATTCACATGTGAATTCCCATGCATGTGCATTTCCACGCATTTGCATTATATAGGGTCGCTATGAGTAAGAATCAATTTAATGGCAACAGGTTTTTGTTTTGCTTTGTCTTTATGATTTAATTACTTACCTGTGTATTCTGGTAATCGACTATATAAAATAACCATTCTTAAGCTTCATACAGTGTACTCTATCCTGAGTTAGGTTTCAATAAGTAAATCTCACATAAACACACTGTTTCTATTTTTAAATTTTCTGTACAATATGAGGTTCATATACTATATGAACAAAGTCCAACTGTCTCTGCACAACCAGTCATTGTGATTGCTGTCAATAAGCTGTACACCTATAAAATGTGGAACTGTAAAAGTTGCATAATAAATATATTTACAACAGTGACAAAAAGCAAGAGTAAGTGCTGAGGCTGCTTATGTACAACCAGACACTTCATGGAATTTGTTTCCATGGTATGGAGGGTTTAGAGTCCTGGTTTCATGAAACATCCCAGTTAATTGGCCTAGTAACTTTTTTAGCATTTCTGTACTACCTGTTCATTCACTGCATAGCATAGTGTCTAAGGTCTAAAAAGTTTGCAATCAGCCATCCAGGGAGCAGCAATGTGTCTATCTTCACCTGGAGCCACAGAGGATGAAGGATGGTCAGGAATAGGAGGAGGAAATAGAACTGCCTCCTTTGCATGAGCCCAGAAGATGGAGCGTGCCTGGCTACAATTACTGAATATTTTGATCAAAGATTCCACAGAAGAATCCAGATACAAGGGGGAACTGAAGAACAGAATTTCACATGCTTATGCACTCTAGACTTTCTGAGTCTACAGTGGAAGCCGTCTTAGGGACCATTTGGTTCAATCAATTTGAGGAAACCCTCAAAGTATTGCCCTGAGATGATGTTTAAGCCTTAAAGTAAAAATATTCCTCCTAGTCTTCTTAAAACAAAACAACAGTTTAGTTTAACAAGTAAAACTGTCTGCCTTGAGCATTATGCTTTTTAAAGAACAATCTCTGTGGGATTAAATTAAAAACAACAACTTGAAAGATGAAAAAATAACTTTAGAGGGCAGTGAGTTTGTGTTAATGAGGGAGGGATAATTCAGAAAAAGAGGGTGAGAGTCATAAAAGAACATAATCAATATCGCTAAATTGTACCTGTAAAAACTATTGAATTGGTGTTTGTTTTGCTGTGCATATTCTCAGCAACAACAATGAAATAAATACATTTTAGGGGGAGAAGACAGCAACTATCTCTTACTATTCTTCCAAACCCTCACTGCCATTCCAAACAAACAAAAATCCAGGATGTTTTGCCTATGCTTCCTTGAGGCCAAGGACTAAGTCTTGTGTATCATAATGCCTCCAGTTCTTAGCCTAGTGCCAGAAAGAGTAGCATCAATATTTTTGTTGTGTTTTAGTCAACCATCTAACAGAAAATGTTCAGTTGCAAGGAATCTTTAAGAAATGTGCATTTCACATATTCATATGCTTTTGGTAAATCACTTCAGGGGCCATGTTCACTTCATCCTCCTCACAGACCACCTGAAGGAAACCTTTACCTATAATTATCTCTCTGCTGATATTTGATTGAAAGGTGACATCACCAAAAACATCTTAGCCTGGGGTCAGGAAACCTGGGCTCCTCAGTGGCTCTGGCACCACTAATGTGACTTTAAAGAAGCAACTTCACTGTTTAGGGTTTCTGATTTGAAAATAAAGGGATTGAACCAAATGGTCCCTAAGGCCCACCCCTTCCATCATCAGTGAATCACTAATTCTAATTATACCAACCTGTAGTTTGACTTTTGTTGCCTCTTGGTCCAGTTCTTGTGTGGTAGTTCCTCTCTCACTGAAGTCAAGATTTAGACTTTCAGGATCTGTTTCATTTTCCATTGTTTGGCAAGAGTTGTCCTTTTCATCGAGAGCCAATAGTTCTGCAGCTAGACAACCTAAGAGTTCATCTGTCAATTCTTCATTCCTTACAGAGTCCAGAATTTCTTGGGAAATTGAATGATCATCATTTAAAGATTTCCCAAACATTTGATATGTAATTGACTTATTTGCTAAACTATCAGGGTCCAAAGAATGTGCCCAGTTTTGATATCTTTGAGAAGTTGCACTTTCTTGCTTCTCATGGAAAGAGAAGTTCATGAGTGCTTTAGACTTATTTGAAATACTATCAAATTCTAGACTGTCGGTTAAAATTTGATTGGTTTTTAAATTACCAAGAGATACTTCATTCTGTTTTTTTTGCAATACATGTTTGTTAGAATTCTTATCACTGGGCATTGCCCAGCTGTTTTCTGAAGAGACAAATGAGATCTGATGATGTAGGTCTTCAAGTTCATGAAGATCTCTGAGGCTTGAGGCAAGTATTTGATTATTAGAAATTTGTCCCTCATTGATAGACTCTTCCATAGAGACCTCTGCAACAATGGACAAATCTGAAATAGGAAGGAATTCGTTCTGTTCAATGGACTGCTGAGGATACTGAGCCAGTTTCATGGGCTGAACATCATCTTTGAAAGATGAAAACTCATTTCCTGAAGACTTCACCTGCCAATCTTGTTCTGCAACAACCTCTTCATTTTCAGTATCTTCTAGGTCTCTAGCTATTGGCTTGCAACTCTTTTCTTTGGAAATTAAAACTTTGTGCTTTTGTTTAATGCCAAGAGAAGTATTTGGGGGTTTACTATGTGATCTTTTCTGAGCATGTCTGGTTCTGTTATTGTTGCTCCTCTCACTGTGTGAGGATCGACATTTGTTAGTGACACATCTGCCAGATGGAGCTGAGCATATCTCTCGGTAATATTTGTTTTCATGTCGTCCAGCCTCTCTTACATGACAATAAACAGGGGTTCCAAACATTTCATAGATTCCAGGCCCATTGCCAGTTGAATTGATTTCTTTGAACATGTCACTATACTTAAGATCTAGGTGATTTAGGTTTGGTTGTGTTGGTTGAACAGAAAAAGAAACAGGTGACTTTTTGATGACAGCATTTTTACAGATGCAAGGAAAGGATGGCCTTTTAGGCTTCAGAGGTCTGTAAGTTGATTGCTTCTTTTCTATCTGTGGCGTCCTTCTGTGAAACTTGGGCAATTGCTGAGACCTGGAGTCAACAAATCCTAAAGCAGGGAAAACTTGAGTTTTTAGGCTCATTTTATGCATGGTGGGCTTAGTAGACCCTTCAGTGGAATTCATGAAATTCTGAGGTGTCCTGTTATTTATCTTTGTCTTTGAATCAAATTTATTTCTATAGGTTTTCATCTTATGTTTGTCATTTTCTTGGTGTGCAAGTATATTGAAGCTCTGGTTGTTGGTATGAAGGCAGCCTTTTCTTTTTTGGAGGCTTGGTTTGACTACTGCTGGGTCCTTGGGGACTCCATCTCCAGGGAAAGTGATGCGGATAAGAGACACCACTTCATTCACTTCTGGCTTAGTTTCTTCCACAGCTGATAGCTTTATGTTTGTCTCCATGCTGCTATGACCTTCTGGGAATTTTTCAATGGGGTCATCGAGGATTATATTGGATAAGCTTTTAAGCACAGGATACTCTTGGAATTCTTCATGATTTTGCTCACTTGTTTCTGTTTTATACACTGAAGCAATTTTTGAGTCAGTGAGATCATTTCTAGTCTCGTCAACCTGGTCTTGAGTGACCTCTGAATACTGGGCTTCTTGGAGCTCGCTTAGGAGGACACAGGCAATTTCTGATTCTTGTTCACAGTTTCTGAGTATTGACCTCTCTTTATTTCTTGATGAAAGATATTGAGTGTTCTCTTCTGCTTTTCTCATTTCACTTCCATGACAGCCAATGTCCTCTTCCATATCAGTGGAAATAGGATCTTCCTTAAAATTCTCAAAGAACTCCAAAGACCCTCCTTTTTCCAAGTGAGATCTTTCAATTTTGTCACATCCTTCTGTTTCCTTGGAATTCCAATTCTTCTCCAGTTCTAGGTGTATTCTGTGAAAGTTAGCCTTCCGAAAAGAGCACATGTTTCTGGACCAAATGGAGCTATCAGATGATCTGAGAGTCTGATCGGCAAACACCTTACATGGAGCTTCCTGTTGCTTGTTTGATGATCTAAACTCATCAGATCGACTAATGGGCTCTGAGATACTTGGTACAAAGGATAGGAGACTTGGAATATGTCTTTCTCTCTCTACTTGAACCTTGTGATTTGGGGGGATGGTAAGAAGGCCAGATCTCCTGGGCAGGAGTGACAATGGCGGGAGTGGGAACTAAGAGCAAAGAGAGAGAGAGAAAGTTAATGAGTATATTTTGTTGTTGTTGTTGTTAAGTGCCGTCGAGTCGATTCTGACCCATAGCGACCCTGTACAGGGTGTCCGAGGCTGTAAATCTTGACGGGAGCAGAAAGCCTCATCTTTTTCCCATGGCATGTAAACTGGTATAAGGTCACCTGAAGAAATTCTGAAATTCTTTTTGGGAATACCTTTAAAGGCAAAATTTATACTAGAGATTCCGGTTTTTAAAACATAAAATCTCATTCTCAGTAGCTTTGTTAGAACCAAGACAAAATGAGACTTTTAAAAGCCAAGATTACCAGAGACATAAAAACTCATAGTTACATATTTAAAAATGAAGACCCTTTAATGAAATTGGACACCTGGTGTGGCACTGTAGGATCAGCACTGGACTGCGAACCACAAGGTCAGCTGTTCAAACTCACCAGCTGCTCCACGTCACTATGAATTGGAACCAACTTGATGGCACTTAATAACAACAACATAATGTAAATTTTACAGTGTGAAGGCAATCCACAAATCCATTGCCATTCAGTTATTTCTGACTCATTGCAACCCTAGAGGGCAGAGTAGAACTGAGACATAGCTTTCAAGGCTGTGATCTTTATAGAACCCTAGTGTGGCACTGTGGGTTAATGTGCTGGGCTGCAAAGTCCGTTAGAACCACAAGGTTGTTGGTTCAAGTTCACCAGCTGCTCCTAAGAAACCCTATACAAAGTTGCTATGTCAGAATTGACTCGAAGGCACTTACCAACAACAATCTTTATGGAAGCCGACTGCTACATCTGGTGGGTTAAAACCATTAACCTTCTGGTTACCAGCTAAGTGTTTAACCATTGTTTTACCAGGGTTCTTATTGGAAGGTGGTTGTTGTTGTTGTTGTTAAGTGCTGTGGAGTTGGTTCCAACCCATAGTGACCCTGTATAGGGTTTCTGAGGAGCACCTGGTGAGTTTGAACCACCAATTTTGTGGTTCAAGCTGACTTTGCAGTCCAGCACCTTAACCCACAGTGCCACACCAAACTGAAGGTTAAGTGCCATCGAGTCGATTCTGACCCATAGCGACCCTGTATAGGGTTTCCAAGGAGCAGCTGGTGAGCTTGAAATTCCCATTTAGAACAATTTAAAATCCCTTTTCACAATGTACTTTAACACTGGATCACTAGATTACTGACTAACCCAGAACACTGGACAGTTTTCATTTCTCCTTTGACCTCCATTTTCAAACTAAGTTAGTTTTTATCGTCAGCTGGTGTGGTGCTGTAGTATAAACACTGGACCGCAAGGCTAGTTTGAACTACAAGGTTGGTGGTTCAAACTCACCAGCCGCTCATCGGAAACCTTATCTATGGTCACTTTGAGTGAAAACTGATTCCATGGCACTTAACAACAACAACAAGAGGTAAGTGTAACCCAATGCATAATATTCACCTTCATCATTATTAAGCTATAAACTCACTTTGTAAATATTCCTTATTTCACTTTATACTTCTTTTCACTGTGCCCTTTCCTTCTGTATGCAGATTCAATACTACTTATATCAGCATCTTGATAAGCATAGATTATGGGTGGTAATTGAAAGCTCTATATTTAGCTTCAGTCTGTTGACACCTATTTGTAAGAGGAAAGGAAGTGGGTGCTAGGCAGTTATGTGTTAAAAATAAATGAGTTGCAATGTAAACCCATAACTTCATTGGTAATATGATTTTCTTGTTGTTCTCAAAAAAATTTATGAAATAAAGCAAGATTTTCCCAGTGTTTAAACATCTCCCTAGCTGTTGTAGTTAAGGCTGTCGAGTTGGTTCTGCTTCATAATGACACTGTGTAGGGTTTCCGTGGCTTTTAATCTTTCACCACCACTCATCTATCAGTTTGTCGTACTGTGGTGGCTTGTGAGTTGCTGTGATTTTGAAAGCTATGCCAATGGTATTTAAATACCAGCAGGGTCACCCATGGTGGACAGGTTTCAGATGAGCTTCCAGACGAAGACAGATTAGGAAGAAGGAGTGATGAACTACTTCCAAATATTTAGTCACTGAAAACCTTATGAATAGCAGAGAAACACTATCAGATACAGTGCCAGGAAATGAGCCCCTCAGGCACTCAAAATGCACTGGGGAAGAGAGGCCTCCTCAAAGTAGAGTTGGCTGTGATGATGGGAGAAAAGCCTGCGGGCTTTTACCAGTGATTGGAATAACAAAGGTTGGGAGCACAGAGGAAGGATCAGTAATTGGAAAATATGGCTTTCCTGATAGAAATGATGCTGGAGATCACATGATAGAATTCTGCAAAATCAATGATTTGATCATTTCAAATACCTTCTTTAGACAGCATAAGAGACAACTATATACACATGGACCTCGCCAGATGGACTACACAGAAATCAAATTGACTACATCTGCCTAAAGAGATGATGGCAAAGCTCCATATCATCAGTCAAAACAAGGCCAGGGACAGATTGTGGAACAAACCATCAGTTGCTCACATGCTAATTCAAACTAAAGCTGAAGAAAATGAAAACAAGTCCACAAGAGCCAAAATATGACCTTGAATATAGCCCACCTGAATTTAGAGATCATCTGAAGAACAGATTTGATACATTAAACACTATAAACTGAAGACCAGAAGAGTTGGTTTGAACTCATAGCGACCCTGTATAGGGTGGCTCAGGATGGTGAGCTTGAGCCACCAACCTTGTGGTTCAAACCGACCTTGCAGTCCAGCACATTAAAGTACAGAGCCACACCAGGACTCCCAGTGGCATCCATTAAACCTTTTCAGGCCATAAACTGTAGAATAAACACTCAACCGCAAGGTTGGCGGTTCAAGCTCACCAGCTGCTCCTTGGAAATCTTTTACAGGGTCACTATGAGTCTGAACTGACTCAGTGGCAATTAACAACAATAAGTAGTAGCTGAGGAGTGCAGTGGGTCTGCATGATAATTACAATCACCAGTCACTCCAAGGGAGAAGGATGAAGCTTTCTGCTCCTGCAAAGATTTACAGTCTCGGAAATCCTATGCAGGCTAGCTATGAATTGAAACCAACATGACAGTACTTAACAACAAGCCAAATGCTTTTGGGTCTCTGTGGGTCAGAACCGACTCCACAGCACTTAACAACATCCAAATGCTTTATTTGAATTTTTTTTTTTTTTTTTTTACAAATGCTTTGCTTGTAAAACAACAACAGCAACCAAAAACCCAAGCAGTTACTGTTGAGTCCATTCTGACTCATGTCAGAATAGAATTATGCTCCACAAGGTTTTCAATGACTGATTTCTTCAGAAGTAGATCTCCAGGCCTTTCTACCCAGGTACTTTTGGGTGGGCTTGAACTGCGTACCTTTTAGTTACCAGCTAAGAACATTAACCACTTGCACCACCCACGGCCTCCTTACTTGTAATTTAAGAACAAGTGTCCCATAGGGTTTACAAGGCTGTAAATCTTTCTCCCTTGCAGCACCAACCTTTCTGTTGGCAGCCAAGCGCTTTAACTACTGCACCACCAGGGAACTGCCAATGTGTATAAGATACTATGAAACTGTCCTAACACTAGAAAAAAGGAATTATATCATTTCGAGATATGTTAAAATAAGACACATTAAAACATGTCTACTTCCTCATGTAGATAGAGATAATGGGAAACAACCCCTAAAAGTTAAAACAAGCATATCAAGACATAATTTTCCCAGAAATTATATGCAGCTCGATAATCCTGGTATGATGCTGTAGGATAAGCACTGGGTTGCTAACCACAAGTTCGGTGGTTCAAACCCACCAGGTACTCCTTGGAAACCATATACAGGGTCGCTATGAGTCAGAACTGACTTGATGGCTCTTAACAACAACAATAAACTATGTGTGAGTTATTATTTTTCCAAGATGTAGTTGCTAAGGATTTGAGTTCTGAGTTGTTTGGTATAGTTTAATTCTAACAACAAAAGCTCTTTGATTTTAATTATTCAGTCTGAATCACTAAAATAAACTTACCTCAATTTTCCTGCTGCTGTGCTTCATATCAGGGATAGAAAACTCTGTAATAAGAAAAGTAGTAGTAATTGGGTATTCTTAATAGTAGCGTGAACACAATACAGTCAGACTTAAGTCAAGTTGGAGACAGAGTGATCTTGATGGTAAGGCCTCAAGGAAAACAGAAATTGAGAATGTTTCCCCTGTGTAATCCTCCTGGAAGTGGGTAAGGAATGATTACACAAGAATTTTGGTTGAGGCCACTAGGGGGCAGTCTCTCACTCCTCCCATATGCAGTCACATAAACACACCTAAATTCTTATATTCTGACAGGAAATACAAAACATCTGAATTCGAGAACAGACCATTTATTACACACAGGGTATTTTAACAGCAGCTCCCCACACTCCAATTCTGCACAAGTGTTGAGAACTAGATGTGTGCCTCCACATATAGTATGTTTGCACCACAAAGGGAAACTCTGAAATGATGAGACTTGGAGCTTATGCACAAGGAGGCTGGTCCTTCAGTCCACTTTCTGCTCAGAGAAAGAGACCTTTACTATAGAATATAAGCCAGTATCTCCTGGGGAAAAGGGCTTTATTATCCTAGAGTGTAAGCAAACAACTCCTGGGGAGATACGCCTTTTTATCTCTCTGGGGTACTATCTCTAACTTTTAAGGGATGTTTGCCCTTCAATCATCTTTGATCCTGGTTTCCTGGTTTGCTAGGAAAGCCCAGACTCTCTAGAAATGTGAAAATATCCATGAATAATTGTCTCCCAACTGTTGTGTTGTTGTTGTTAAGTGCCATCGAGTCAGTTCCAACTCATAGTGACCCTGCATAGAGTTTCCAAGGAGCGATTGCTGAGTTTGAACCACTGACCTTGTGGTCCAATGCTTTATCCCACAGCGCCACACTAGGACTCATCAATTCTGCACAGTGCAATTGTAAGAAGAGGAAGAGAGATTTAGAATTTACTAGGTAGTGGAAAACCTACTTGTTCTCTTCTTTTTCAACTAGTTGCTGATTCCAACTCATGGTGACCCCATGTATATTAGAGTAGATCTCTGCTCCATAAGGTTTCAATAGTTGGTTTTTCAGAAGTGAATCACCAGGCCATTTATCTGAGGTGATTTGGGGTGGACTCAGAACTCCAACCTTTAGGTTAGTATCCAAATGTGTTAACGATTTGTACCTTACAGCGAATGTTCCTCTCTTACTAACAAGCCAGAATAATACCCCCAAAATCCCACCCATCCACCACAGCTTAGAGTTAAGGCCCAAAGCTCCAATGTCTTCAGGGTCAAAGCGGGTCTCATAGACAGTAGGAGGTAAGGAATGCAGTGGATTGACAGCATGTGCCGCCCCTCCCCGCGACAGTACACCCACTGTCCTGATGTAAGTTGTGGTTCCCATCCCAGAAGGATAACCCAGCACAGGCAGATCTTCCCATTGCCAAGAGAAACCAGAAAGCTGGCCATTTTATATGAAATCCCCCTTTAAAAACTAAAATACTATGAGAGCCAAACAACGTACATGTACATCTCTGAGTCAACTTCAGTTTCATTTGAAACTTCCCATTAGAGAGAAACATGAAGCAGAATTCTATAAATACAATGATGTTGTTGTTGTTAAATGCTGTCGAGTTGGTTCCGACTCATAGCAACCATGTATAGAGTTTCCAAGGAGCTGCTGGTGAACTTGAACCATCAACCTTGTGGCTAGAAGTCCAGTGCTTATTCTTCATTGCCACACTAATCATGGTGGTATGCCGTGGAGTTGGTTCCAACTCACAGTGATTCTGGATAGGGTTTTCAGTGCTGTATATCTTTACAGGAGCAGAAAGCCTTATCATTCTCCCGAGGAGTGACTGGTAGATTCAAACTACTACCCTTGTGGTAAGTCCGCTAAGTAGAAAATGGTCACCTAAGAAGAGGTTTCCAATAGGAGCAGCATAGGCTGGCCAAGCTGGCCAAGATTCCTCCCCTGGCCCCCAATTCTTTATTCAGTCATTCAATGAGCATTTTTGAATGCCTACTGAGTGGCCATCACTGGTCCAAAAGTTGAAGAGATGCTAGAATTTAATAACAGAAATACAACTGAATATAATTTATACTTGGATATATATCTATATATCTATGGAGTCCTGGTGTGGCACTGTGGGCTAATGTGCTGAATTGCAAAGTCAGTTTGAAGCTCATCAGCTGCTCCTAGGAAACACTATAAAGGGTCACTATGGGTCAAAACTGACTCCATGGCACTTAATAATTACAACCTATGGATAATAGCCTAAGCTAAAAACAAAACAACTTACAGATATTTTTATAACTATCTAGACACACATTATCCAGTATGAGTTAGGATGGATGAGGGGAAGATAGCACCCCGAAGCATTTCTAGTGGGAACGTGGTGGTGGGTATGTGTCATGGAGTCGGTTCCTTCTCATAGTGACCATGTATAGGGTTTCTGAGGCTGCACATCTTTATGGGAGCAGAAAGCCTCACCTTCCTCCTGCAGAGCTACTGGTGGATTCGAACTGCCGACCTGTACTTAGCAGCCCAATCTTACTGAGGTAAAATTTTTCTGATGGGCAATTTGACAATACATATCAAGAGCCTTTTAAAATGTGTAGAATTCCAGTTAAACATGGCACATGGAATGTATGTGTTTTTCTCCACTCTTTCAGAAACTTCAAAGAAATGACAATAAAAATTTAAAAGTATAAATAAGGACAAAGAAAATCCGAAGATAAAACAGCAGATGAGCAATGCCAACAAAATTTTGGATTGTGAAAACTGAGTGAGTAGTAACTGACTTCTCTTTTCTGCTCAGTGCCTGCAGGGGGGAAAGCTCAACAAGGAATGAGCACTCCAGAAAGGAACAGGGACTATAGCTATAAGGTGGGGTTGCAAGCAAGGTTTAAGCTAAGCGCTGCCTCAAAGTCTGTACAAGAAGTATTCAAAATTCTCTGCCTACCAAGAAGCCAAGAGTTGCTTTTCTTCCTTACTGACAGATGACTGGAAGTTTGCTCTCTGGTGAACTTGAAACAAAGATGCTAAGGAGTGAGGGATAGCTGAGAGCAGAAATGGGATAAATAAAAGTTGGTGTCCCTGGGTGATCCAAATGGTTAATGTGCTCAGCTGCTAACCTTTGAAAGACTGGAAATTGAAGCCACTCAGAAGGACATCAAAGACCTGGTGATCAATGTGGGACAAATTAGCCATTGAAAACTCTAAGGAGAAGTGTTCTACCATGACACACACGGGCTTCCGTGAGGTGGAATAGACTGGCAAGGGAAAGTCTGCACACTGAAATGTGAAGTCCCCTCTATGCAGAAACACTGGCTTCCAGCCCTACAGCCAAGGCAGGAGTGTGGCTCAGTCCTCTCTAGGGAAAACTAGCCAAGAGAAAGGTCAACTGCGGGGAAATCCTCAACCAGTCGTCCAGATCTCTGCCCATTCACTCTTTTGAGGCCCACTCAAGCACACAGAACTTTTTGTGTGGCTCCCTCTTAAATACAAATGGGTTTCCAAGGAGCAACATATATGTGAGCAAATTCTTCAACATGAAAAGGCAGAGCACAACAAACAGAAGAAAAGAAGAGCTCTTAGAAGAAATAGAGGCAATGGAAACTGTCATTAATTTATTCCATGTACCTTTTTTCAGGAAACTATTAGAAAATGACCCTAGGAAGCACAAATGGCTAGGTGCCCAACTCCTACACATAGAGTTGGTGGTTCAAAACCATCCAGAGGTGCCTTGAAAGACAGGCCTGGTGCTTTGCTTGATTGCGCTCTGTGGAACAGTCTGCTCTTTACACATGGGTCACCAGGAGTCAGAATGAACTTGATGGCAACTAACAACAACACAGTGAGAGAGTAAGCCAAAGAAAAGGAAGACACGAGCCCAGTAGACAATGGGTCCATCGCAGGAGAGAGACAAACAAAATGGTATGGAATGAATTGTGACCCCCCCCAAAAAAAATATGTCAAAGTCCTAACTTCTATACCAATGAATATGACCGTCTTTAAAATAGTTTCTGTTTTTGAAGATACCATCGGTTAGATTAATGAGGTCAATATGGGATAACATGGATAAGCACTAAACTCCAAGGTTGTTTTGAACCACAAGGTCTATGGTTCAAATTCACCAGCTGCTCCTCAGAAACCCTGTACAGGGACAATATGCCTATCAGAAGTGACTAGACGACACTTAACAACAACAATCTCGTCTCCATCGTATAAAGGGACAGGACAGATATGGAGAGATAGTCACATTTGAAGATGCAACACCAGGAAACACTTGGGCTACCAGAATCTGGACGAGACAGAGCATGGTCTCTGTTGAATGAACAGAGAAAGCATAGTCCTGCTGATGCTCTAAATGTGGCCTCCTAACCTCTAGAACTTCAAGACACCTACTTTAAAGTCACCTGTGGTGGTTATGTGCTGTGGAGTTGGTTCAGACTCATAGTGACCCTGTACAGGGTTTCTGAGGCTGTAAATCTTTACAGGAGCAGAAAGCCTCATCTGTCTCCCGCGGAGCGGCTGGTAGTTTCTAACTGCTGACCTTGCAGTTCACAGCCCGATTCATAACCACTATGCTACCAGAGCTCCTTTTAAAGTCACCTATATTGTAGTATTTTGTTATTGCATCACTAAGTAACTAAGACAGGACATTATTAGGATAATAGTGAGGAAATTCCCAGACAGACTGCTGGTCAGGTTGAAAAAGCAAGCCGTGCAGACTGAAACAAGAGGGTAGAGGATATTTCTGGAACTCCAAATTCATTCTCTCCATCCACCCTTCCCTCCAGGTTGGTCCTGCACCAATTGCTCCTCATCTTCTCAAATCCCAACTTCACTGCAAGACTAAATATGCTTACTTCTTTCCCCTATACCTCAGTCTCCATGGGCTGAGACAGATGGGAGATAAGAACTGCCAACATAGATGGCATGGAGTTTAAGAACTCAAATTTAGAAACAAATGTTACTGTTTTAAACCTAGTTTCTGGTTACTCACTTTATGATCTGGACATGCATTTGACCTACTTAGACCTTA